TCTTTAAGAGCATTAATCATCTCTGTATTAGCATCCTGGGAGACCTTAGTTACCCAACCCACCTGTGGTCCTGTGGATTTTGACTTCTCCTGGGCACAATCACCACTATTATGGGATGCCTTGTGAGAAACTCCCGGCTTCTCCTGCGGTGGCAATCGGAGGAAGGATTACGAGCGCCCTCTCGATCTACTTCGATGCTTGGATTTGCGCCTCGAACGATCTTGAACCCCGTCTGTCCTGCTGTGCCGCTGCGTGCCCTCTTCGGCCTTGCGTCGTTCTTCTTGCTCCCACGCTTCTTCAAGCTTCATTTCCCACTGTAGCTTCTTCACTATATAGGTGTCCGAAAAAGTTCTTTGCACCTTTTTTCTCCGGTCACGTGCTCCTTGCCACACAGACGGCAAATCGGCGTACATTCATGGTCCTTGGGTGGGGAGGCCACCCCACAACCTCTGCATTTTTCGTGCGGGCTGTCACATACGTCGGATCGATGTCCCAGCTCACCACACTTGTAACACACTTCATATCTCTTCTTGTAGAGAAACAATTTGATCGGCGTCCCAAAGCAGATCATCCATCTCGGCACGGAGTCGTCAACAAAGGTGATGATTACCGAAGTGGAATTGCCCATCCTTCGCACACCAAGAATAGGACGATTCTCTTCGTGTGAGAAAGCCAGTTCCAATTCTCTCTCAGAGAGAGAGAGAATTTCTCGTAAAAGAAATTTTCTGTTGTTTCTGTTGAATGAGAGTCCCTCTGCATTCCCAGGCTTCCGGATCCTCATTCTCCTCTCAGCTGTAAATAAGCACTGCGTAATGAACTTGAAGAACTTTTAAAGGAAAAGAAATCTTTTTTCTAGGTGACATGGTCGAAGGGACGTATTTTGATATCAACGACATAAACAGTTCTTATAAGTGTGACAGAAAAAGCAAGTTTCTCTTGTAGGCTACAATATTACTGAGAACAAAAGAAAATAGTGGCTAGAAAAGTATAAGAAACGTTATTAGGTGTAATTGTAATGAAATTGCGAATAAAGAAAAGTGCACGAAAAAATTACTTGCCACCGGCAGGATTCGAACTTGTGGTGGCAACAGGAAGACAACCCCTAAACTAACACTTTTCTCCTTCATTCGTAGCGAGTGTCTCCTTTTAGCAGACTTGATGCCTTCAGGTATTCCGCGACCGATTTTTAGACAGCTGCCAGTTCGCAATAACATTATGCGCTACGCGACAAACGCAAACAGGCGAAAAAAAAAGGTGTTCTATACTTGTCCAAAGGCGACAAGCGGCGCTGACTGACGCTGGCACGTTTAATGGCAAATATACAGCCTGTAATGTGGGTGGAGAGACGATTGCCACTGTATCTCAGAGGTAGAGCATCGCACACATCCTTCGAAGGTCGCAGGTTTGAATTCTGCCGATGGCATGTTACGTCGTCGTCCACTTTTCTTTATTTATTACTTTGATTACAATTGCTTTTATTAACATCCCTAAAGGGGCCCTGAAACACTTTCTTGAGTAACCATAGAATTTATTCACTGGAAAGGCGTATTGGCTCACAAATTCAACGCGATTTCTCTAACAACAAAGCGTGCCATGTTCAAATGATTCAATGGCTGTTAGATTGGCAATCTACGTGCGATTTTTGAGCGTTTTCCTTCATTTACCGAAGAAAGATAAACCAATTTTAGCTGACTTTGATAATTTATTGCAAATTACACGCCGCGTGCTGTTCTATAACATTTGGCTCGAGTGTTCTCGGAAGCTTCTAATACCAATCGGCAGCCTTTTCTGACCATGCTCTCAAAGTGTTGCAGGGCCCTTTGAAACTGGCACTTAGTCATTTAGTTCTCATTTCTACAAGTTGTCATTCCACAAGGAAGATGCCCACGCATTTCTGAGTGGTGTGCGTGTGTGTGTGCTTGCGCGTGTGAGCATCCTCTAAATCTGTGACCTACGTGTTTTTATAACAAGCTTACATCGATTCTAAGCGACTGCTCGAGTATTCAATTGCGAATGTTCACAGCAGCCGCACTGATTGTACAAGAAAGTATCAGGACTCATTGATAGCAATCAAATGGCTCTGATATACACTCATTCTGTCTCCCTAATAACTCATGAGTAATTTGTGTTTTCTATTTTGTTAAACAATATCAACTACTCCTAGGTCGAGAAGCTTTGTGTTTTGTGTCAAGTGTTTTGTCTCACTGATCTACTTATTTATCTATTGCTGGGACTCGTGTGAATGTTCATAATTTACGACTTTTTTCGAAGTGTGGAGCACTTTCGGAGCATGGCAGTCGTACATTGTCGTCACTTGGTGCAGCGCAGGCAAAACGACACACAAAATTGTCAAGCAAGAGGAAAACGTAAGCACAGAGAAAGAATAGCAACAAAGTAAAAAAGAACAAGAATTAAAAAAGAATGACTAAAGAAATAAATGAAGTAAATATAAATAACGAGAAAAGACAAAAAAAAACTGGCATTGAAAACAAAGAGAAGAAGCAAAAAAAAACCAGAAACACAGAAGGCTCCGTGCTTCCTTCAGTATTGGCACGCCTAGAGGAAAGCTTTTTTAAATTTAATCATTTCGAATAATTTTTATGCGATAAATATTTCTCACTAATCAGCCCATCTGATTTACATTTTTGCTTTTGTTTTAACATCACTGAATGACAGTACTTGAAATGTATATTTCTAATTGTTCCAATTACTTGGTCCTAGTTATGACACCATATGCATCTTTAGCCTGCTACATAAAAAAGAAAGCTCATATTAAAGAAAAAGGATATGTGGCCGCTCCACTACTGTGAAACCCGAGGAAGCGCATAGAACGAGGACCCAGTAGTTTCCGTTAGTAGAGTTGCCACTGCTACGTTTACCAAAGCGTTGACGACGCTTGTATTCGAGCTAAGCATGTAGCGTTTATCTGGTGCAAGTAGAATCTTGTTAGGTTTATCGCCTGCCAGCTTACCACGGCAATTTTGACGCGCATCGTCTGCGTCATCAAAGCAGCGCTAGAACTATGTTGGGGGGGGGGGGGTGATTTTTAAAAGAGAGAAAAGAAGAAAATTGAGCCTCGTAACTGCCTCTCAAGAGGAGGACACCTCAACAGTAGTTCACGAGGGATCGCCCTAAGAAGGGATCGAAAGGATAGGGAGCAATGAAAGGTATAGAGATAGAGAGAGGCGCATGGACCGACAGACCACATACGGAAGTCAGGAGAAAGGAAAGATGGACACGGTCGCAGGAGCCTGACAACGGGGTACCACTTAGTGAGAGCTCTTGTCAGGGTCAGGAGATGGCGTAGGGCTAGCCAGTCGGCCAGAGCTGCACTGTCGTCGAAGATCGCAGAGGCACAACCGGTCGGTACGAAATCCAGCGAGCGAGTCCTGACCTAACCGCGTATAGACGAGAGCACGCCTATCTCGCACCCAGGCGCCTTTGGCGGTATATTCTCGCTCCTAGAGACGCCATAATTTGTTTGGAACTGCCAAAGCGTGCCTCGCTAGCATGGCATGCAGTGGCTCTGGGAGTTTCAAATGCGAAAAAGCACCTGTTCACACTGCGCCTGCTTATAAAATGTCATTTGGGTACTACTGCGCTGTCATCTGATGCAACAACTAGCGCAAAAGGAAGAGACTGCTGACCACTGCCTGTGAAGTTCACAGTGAATCACGGGAATCATGCTGGTCGCTGCGGTGTTTAGCGATTGTACAGACTTTCGTCCACAACGAAAAACGCTGAGCTCGGCCACCCTATAGAATATAATCACAATCAGCAGGAAAAACTACGAGCCTAGCAAAGTGTACGAGTAAGAATACTTATGGCATTAATTCACGCGCGACTCCAGCTGTTCCAATTTACAGCAGTGATTTGCGTGCAGTATGCCTGTAGTATGCGGCACAAAACCATTGCCGTGCTCTTCCGCAGGCACATGTGAATAATAGAATATATGTATTACGACTCACGCGTGGATGCACGCACCGCGCATGTTTAGTACAACTGTAACAGCCTACTATCGCGATGTAGAGATGTGAACGGCGCGCAAAGTATGGCTTTCTGCTCGGTCGAACTGCTACATGGCTTGACTGTCACTAGGCGAATCTACATGTGCTTTCAGCTGGCATCACCGTAGCATATTAAAATCTTGTTCTGGCTGGCCCTTGTGCACCGCGTGCGTGCTCCCAGTGCCCGGCAGGGCTGGCAAAAATGCACATGCGGTGCGTAAGTTGGAGTCAGATTCTAGCGCTACGTTGACGCCGGCTTACAGCACAAATTCTGCCTTGTCACAGCCAAGACACGCAGGTGTGAACAATTTCTGCTGTTCGCGTTTCTTTCAGTCGTATAATACGTGCTTGATGAAGTTCCTTCCGCAATCTGCAATGCACGTGCTGCAGACATTCTGGACTGTCGAGGAAGGTCTCCTGGACGTTTCACACGAATACAGCACAAAATTTTAGTAGAGGAACAGCGCCAAACATGCATACAGCCGGCCTCAGTTGTGAAGTTTCGCGTTTGATTTGTAGAGCGTCTACTCGCGTGGCAGTTGAGGGTGTTGCTCTGCCACGCTTACCACAGATGGCGTCACGCCCTTGTCAATATGGCAGCAAGCACTGAGTTCGTTGTGCTCTGGTGTATAGGAGAGGGCGTGCATTCACCCGCTCGGCGAGGTAGTGGCTCCCTCTCTTGTGCGTTCTCGAAGTCGGCCACAGGGCTTCTAAAAGATCATTTAGTAATTTCCGTTAATTACTACAAACATATCTGTGTCATTTCTGTTTATTATATTATTTTAGGTCGTGTTCATTTCTTTTCAAATGGTTCTGAGCATGGCTGCCTTTGTTACGGCCTCTATTGAACGCTTTACTGTGAGCGCGATTACGTCACGTGACATGCATGGAAGGATGACCAGCCGGGTCCTTGAAGTGTTTCGCAGTTAAAAATTCTAGAACATATAATACTGGAACTCTTGCTGCACTTACATTGGCTTCGCTCTCTTACAGGCACTATCACGGCTGCAAATGCTAGCGGTCTTAACGACGGCGCCGCGGCTTGCGTTTTGATGACCCGCCAGGCAGCCGATCGGCTCGGGGGTAAAGCCCCTCGCAAGGATTGTTGGTGAGTTCAAGTGCGCTACGAAGAAACATAAACATATTGCTACGGAGAGGAAGAAAAGGAAGAGGTGCGACTGACAGGCGCGCGACTGGGCCAATCAGCCATTGTGTCTCTTGCCTGTAGTTTTTACTCTGCAAATACATCTCGCTCAGAAGCAACCAACCTCGTAACATATTGGTGAGAGGTGCTGGGTAACCATCAGGCAACGGAGCTCCGCAGCGGACGTCGCATCGCCCTTCCAGCCATGGCCAATGCTCAGCCCTCCGCGTCAACGTCAGCGTCTCCGACGAACATGGCGTCGCAACCGTACGTTTTCACGCCTCTCAAGGATCCCGGTACATTCTGCGGAACCGATGGCGTCGACGTTGACGATTGGCTGGCCATGTTTGAACGAGTGAGTGTGCCGAACAGATGGGATCCCACACTTCAGTTGGCTAATGTGCTGTTCTATTTGAGAGGCACGGCCAAGGTGTGGTATGAGAACAATGAAGAAGAACTCACAAGCTGGGACCAATGCAAAGCAAAGATGCGGGAGGTGTTTGGCAAAACCGCCAGTCGGAAGATCGCCGCCAAAAAGGAATTGGCCTGCCGTGCCCAATCCCCTACGGAGTCATACCTCGCTTACATTCAAGACGTGCTGGCCCTCTGCCGAAAGGCCGAAAGCGACATGACAGAAGGTGACAAGGTGGGACATGTTCTGAAAGGGATTGCCGACGACGCGTTCAATCTCCTGATGTGCAAGGGCTGTTCCACCGTAGACGCGATCATCAAAGAGTGTCGTCAGTTCGAGCAAGTGAAAAGTCGCCGCATTCTACAAACATTCGCTCGACTCCCAAACACCGCTGCAACATCTACTTGCGAGGACCAGTCAACACCACAACGTGCATCGCCGCCGGGAGACCTTACACGCATTGTTCGTCGTGAACTGGAAGCTATGGCGCCCTCGGCGTTCTATTCGCGCAGTACCGATGCCACTCCTGTTACTGTTCCTCTTGTTCAAGCCATCGTGCGCCGGGAGCTTGAAAACATCGGAGTGCATTCCGTGTGCCATGTCACCGCGCCTAGAGTCAGCGAACGCCCTTTCGTGATGCCCTTCTCCGACCGACGGTCTTCTCCACGTACTCGCAACCCGGCTGAGTGGCGAACTGCAGATGACCGCCCTATATGTTTCAACTGCCACCGCGTTGGACATATTGCCCGTTACTGCCGCAACACATGGTCCTCGGCACATCGCGCAACGACCAATATGACCCGTTTCGACGATACCGCCCGCACCTTTCCACCTGCCGAAGAGCCCAATGCCATTGACCATTCTCGGAACACTTGGTACAGCCGCTCGCCTTCACCACGTGGGCACCAGTCTCGATCGCCGCAAACACGTCGTCCATCGTCCCGTTCGCCGCAGCCACGGCGCTTCTCGTCCCCCGTGGCTTCCGGCCGCGTTGTCTCGGAAAACTGAGAAATGCAGCCCCCGGAGGTGGTGCTGCATTGACGACTTCCGCAGCAAATCCTCTTTCCGTTCCCACCAGACGAAGTGTAATAGACGTTAAAGTAGACGGCGAACCTGTACAAGCACTTGTCGACACCGGCGCAAGCATTTCGGTCATGAGTTCAAGCCTACGCACACGTTTAAAGAAAGTTCTGACACCAGCGGCTGCACAAATGCTCCGTGTGGCCGATGGCGGCACGCCGATGGTTCTCGGTCTGTGCACTGCCCGCTTACGTATAAAGGACCACACTACTTCTGTCATTTTAGCCGTGATTGACCACTGCCCTTATGACATTATCCTAGGCCTGGACTTCTTGTCGAATCATTCTGCTCTGATCGATTGTGCTACAGGCGTTCTTCAGCTAGAGTTGCCTCAGATAGTCGCTGAACCCCCCACTGCCCCGCCGCGCCTGTGCTCTCTTCAGGATGTGCGGCTGTCAGCTCAGGCAGCCACCTTCGTCGTTTTGACCGCACAGCCCCAAGTTCCCGATGGTCAATATGTCCTCCTTCCTCTCGCCGACGTCCTCTTGAGCCGCAACATTGCCATTCCCCATACGCTTGTGACTGTTACTGACAATTGTACCTCGCTTCCACTTCTCAATTTCAGCTTGTGCCCTCAAGTGCTTCCTCGTGGCATGTTCTTGGCCAGCGTATCTAATGCTGACGAATTCGAAATAGCAGCGCTCACCACCGAGATTGATTTACTTCAGTCTCCTGTAGCGAACAGCACCTGTTCTCGGCCAGATCGTTTCTCGAAGATGATTGCACCCGACCTCAACCCTACGCAAGCCAATGACATCCATCGCCTTCTCGCGTCATATACCGACATTTTTTCTTTCGACGACAGACCTCTAGGGCAAACATCCACTGTTCAGCACCGTATAAATACTGGTGACGCCAGTCCTATTCGCCGACGCCCCTATCGTGTCTCCCCCACTGAGCGTAGAGTTATCCAAGCAGAAGTGGACAAAATGCTCAACAAAGGTGTCATAGAACCATCAAGTAGTCCTTGGGCCTCCCCTGTCGTCCTTGTGAAGAAAAAAGATGGTACCTGGCGCTTCTGCGTTGACTATCGCCACCTAAACAAGATCACACGAAAAGACGTGTACCCGCTACCACGCATCGATGACGCGTTGGACTGCCTACACGGGGCTACATACTTCTCGTCTATAGATCTTCGGTCCGGCTACTGGCAGATTTCTGTCGATGAAATGGACCGCGAGAAGACGGCCTTCATTACACCAGATGGTTTATACCAGTTTAAGGTCATGCCTTTTGGACTATGTAACGCCCCTGCCACATTCGAACGAATGATGGACTCTCTCCTGCGTGGTTACAAGTGGTCTACTTGTCTTTGTTACCTAGACGATGTGATAGTCTTTTCATCTACTTTCGATAGCCACCTGACCCGTCTCGCTGCAATTCTCGCAGTCTTCAGAACAGCTGGGCTACAACTCAATTCCAAGAAGTGTCAATTTGGTCACCGTCAGATTGCCATTCTGGGCCATATTGTAAACGCCGATGGTGTCCAACCAGATCCCGAAAAGATCCGCGTCGTCCGTAGCTTTCCAGTGCCCCGTTCTACATCCGACGTCCGTAGCTTCGTCGGCTTATGTTCCTACTTTCGCCGTTTTGTGAAAAACTTCGCTGACGTTGCCCGGCCACTGACAGATTTGCTGAAGAAGGATACCACATTCTCATGGGGCCCTGAGCAGGCTCAAGCGTTCGCCGCTCTCATCGGCTACCTAACTACGCCCCCCATACTTGCCCACTTTAATCCTTCTGCTGCCACAGAGGTTCGCACCGACGCCAGTGGCCACGGTATCGGCGCAGTTCTCGCTCAGCGGCACCACGGTAGACAGTGCGTGATAGCTTACGCCAGTCGCCTGCTTTCCTCCCCAGGAGATGAATTATTCCATCACCGAGAGAGAGTGTCTAGCTTTAGTTTGGGCCGTCGCCAAGTTTCGGCCATATTTATATGGTCGCATTTTCACTGTCGTTACGGACCACCACGCCCTCTGTTGGCTGACTTCTCTGAAGGACCCGACTGGACGTCTGGCTCGCTGGGCTCTGAGGCTTCAGGAATTTTCGTTTAGCGTCAGCTACAAGTCTGGCCGTTTGCACAAGGACGCAGACTGTCTTTCTCGATATCCGGTAGATCCTCCTGATCCCGTTGCGCCTGACCTGGAGAGCAGAGTAATGGCGTTTACAGACGTCAGCGATATGCGCATCGAACAACGACGGGATGAGTCATTGCGCACTATCATCGACGCCATCCAGTCTGACAGCCATGACGCTGAATCCCGTATGTTCGTGCTGCATGACGGCATCCTCTACCGCCGCAACGTCACCACTGAAGGCCCTGAGCTTCTGCTTGTCATCCCTCGTCATCTACGGCCTGCCATACTTCAACAACTTCACGACGCACCAACAGCGGGACACCTCGGCGTTTCCCGCACATACGACCGCGTGCGACGTCGATTTTTCTGGCCTGGATTGTACCGCAGCGTACGTCGATATGTCGCCACTTGCGACCTCTGCCAGCGCCGGAAAAGACCTTCTTTGCTGCCAGCTGGATATCTTCACCCAATTGAAGTCCCCTCTGAACCATTTCATCGCGTGGGACTCGACCTTCTTGGCCCTTTTCCGACGACGACACTAGGAAATAAATGGATTGCCGTCGCCACAGATTATGCGACCCGTTACGCGATAACAAAGGCCATGCCAACCAGTTGCGCCACTGACGTCGCGGATTTTCTTCTTCATGACGTCATCTTACACCATGGTGCACCCCGACAGCTGCTTACGGACCGCGGCCGCTCTTTCCTGTCCAAAGTTGTCGATGACCTCCTTCGATCGTGTGCTACAGCCCATAAGCTATCTACCGCCTACCACCCACAAACTAATGGCCTAACTGAACGTCTCAACCGCACGCTCACAGAGATGCTTTCGATGTACGTCTCCGATGATCATCGAGACTGGGATACAACGTTGGCCTATGTGACCTTCGCATATAACTCCTCTCGACATGACACTGCGGGATTCTCGCCTTTTTATCTTTTATATGGTCGCGACCCCATATTGCCATTTGAAACCACCTTGCCTCTCGTGCCATCTGCTTCCGAGTACGCGCGCGAAGCCATTGATCGGGCTCACATGGCTCGTCAAGTTGCCCAGTCTCGCCTCACCAGGTCACAGGATATGCAAAAAGCCCGCTACGACCACCGGCATCGAAATATAACGTTTGCCCCAGGTGACCACGTGCTCCTCTGGTCACCGTGTCGCCGTGTAGGTCTCTCCGAAAAACTTTTGTCCCGATACGCCGGACCCTACCTAGTCTTACGTCAAGTTAGCGACGTAACCTACGAGATAGCGCCATTGCACTCCAATACGTCACCAAGTTCGTCACTAGTTGACATTGTCCATGTTTCGCGCTTGAAACCCTACTTCTGTCGCACTTCTCCGGACTCTCGCCGAGACGGCGCTCCAACGCCCGGGGGTCCTGCTACGGAGAGGAAGAAAAGGAAGAGGTGCGACTGACAGGCGCGCGACTGGGCCAATCAGCCATTGTGTCTCTTGCCTGTAGTTTTTACTCTGCAAATACATCTCGCTCAGAAGCAACCAACCTCGTAACAATATTAACCTCAGTGCGGGTAAACGACGTTAAAAGGTGCTGACAGAAAATTCGCGGCCGAGATAGTCTTCATATTTAATATTTAATTCCCGTGAACAGTCGTATATCATCTGCAAAAAAGAATTGACTTTGAATATAGCTTGGAAGATGTTTTACTCATGTTTGAAGTTTGCGCTCGCGTTCGGCTCCATCGTCTCATTGACACCGTCGAAGGGGACCTTTCAGGCTCCCCATACTTCCCCCATGTCACCACGATGCAGTCAATAAAGCATGTTGACGTCATACCTAGCACTTTTCTTTTCCTCGCTTGTTCCCGCAGTCTACTTCTCGGTGGCTGGTCGCGAGTGCGTGGCCCTTTTGTGGTTTGGTGACATTGCAGTCTCGTTTGCTATTCGAAAGTAATTCTTGATGCGGGCCGTGCAGAAGTGTTCACAGTTCCGTGTGCTGGCGTGGTCGAGAGCTGCACATACTTGGTGGTGATAGTTGCACCGGGCAGTTGCTTGTTTTTGCAGCTCTCTCAAACCGAAAATGAAATTGGCCAATAATGAGGAATCTGTAATTAATTATCTGTCGCGTGCTTCAGCAAAAGACGGATCATGCCATGACTAACAGGGCCCCAGCATCACATTGCAGCAGAAAAACGTGATGCCTAAGTTATTGTACCAATTGCCCCTAAATAACCCCTACACCCCTTCCGATATTTTCACGAACATTTCAGTTATATAAGCGCATCGTGTGCAGAATGCTATCGCGATCAACGATGCCACATGCCGCAGCGCTACAGGTAGCGGGCGCGCCACAATTTTGAAAAAAAAAAACAATAGCTTCTCCTTTCTGGTCCCCGCCATTGCCGCCACTGACATGCGTGACACCACCAGTGAAACTCGATGACGTTACCACTTTCGATGCTTGCGATTGGCCGAACAACCAACGACTTCCGCTCACTCTGCAAACAGCTGTTCGCGCGCACCTTGCTGTTCTTGGTCGTGTTGCCGCTTGCGAATCGACATCTGCGGCCCGTAACGCAACACATGGTCCATACCGGCGCGATTCGTAAGGACATGGGCCGGCACGACGGCAACAGCGGTTAGTCAACGATCAGTGCTGCCAGATGACACACACAACACAGTTGACGGAGAGATGGGTCTTTGAAGTGGCGGATCACGATAACCGGAAGTAGACGCTGTGTCGAAACACGCGTCAGCGGTGACGTATGTCAGGCGAGATCAGGAAGGGCACTCAGCTGACTCAGCAAGGAGGGGCCAAGCGGTTTTCGAATTTCGAAGAGGGTAGCCCAGGAAAGAGAAAAAGAAGCAATCGTCGCGTTTCGATCTTCAAACGCGTGTAACTCCGCTATTGCGGCACCTTTTCAAAAAATTCTCATGGCCACGTATTCGTTGTACACTCGAGCACAACTTCCTCATCTAAACTAAATTTCGACCACCGGGAGGTTTAGGGGCCCTTTAACAGTCGTAGCGATTTCTCCTCAGTTCTAGGTTCGGTGGCCCTGGGTTATATAAATAATCTCTGAAAGAACTACAAAATAAGACAAATTTATTATTTGCTTGCCACTTTCACAATTGCATTTTTATGTGGAGGCAGAAATCTTTACATGGCCAGATACATTATACAAAAACGTAATTAGGGTTAATAAAAAAACTTTTTATTCAGCGAGAACTGCTAACTGAAATAACTTGCGCTCCTCTCGCGATGAGTTGATTGCCTTTTTGAGATTATTAAAAACCGGCCGACGGTAAAATTTTGAAGCCATATAACTCCAACCAATCTCTTTCGCTACTTCTATAACTCTTCTTCCTCGAGCACCATCCCTGTGCGAACCTGTTGAGACGTCCTCGTATGGCGAAACGGTTACGGGTCGACCCTTTTCTGTTTATTACTTCCATTCATTAGCATTTGAGAAGGCTGCAGAAACCAACATTAAAATGCGGGAGAACGCACCTGCCATCTCATTATGAGAAGCCCGGAGAGAAGAGCGTCATTATCAACCATCGGTGTACTTCGCCTACTGTGTGTGTGGGATGCAATTTCGATTATATCACGCATGGCTGAGCTACAATATTGACAAATGTAGAACTTACACCGGTGCAATTGCTGTCATAAACAGTGATCTGATTTTGTTCGTCTACAATAGTTGCGTTCCTTCACGCTTTCGTTTTGGTTCCACAGGTGATTTCGTCGAATTTCGTTGCTTCACAAAAATTGCCAAAAGATGTTTTTTTCTTTGAAATTTCAAAAAGTTGATGAGCTATTCAAAGGGGAAAAAATTTATGTTTCTGGTTTTATCCAACTGCCTGTATTCACTAGTTAAAAACATAATTATTCGAATTTATTGAATCATTCGATTACTTTCGTACGTGGTGACCCTAGCGATCTTAATCAAAATGCCTCTGATAGAGACCAAGTAGTAATGAGGGTCGGAATGAAATATTCTCTCTTAGATTTTTTTAAGATTTTCAGGCATATTTCTCCCACACTCAGTACAAGTATTCAAAGACAGTTTGCAGACAACTACATACTACAGTATACCTAATTGCATTCTTTCACGACGCGACGTCCTCGTTTAGAAACACGGCTATCTTTCGCTATTTTCTGGGCACTTTTTACAAGAAAGAAATTATGTTCTTTTCCCTGAAAGTGCGTGTACATATTGTCACGGTGTCAAAGCGGAGGCATTGACACAGAGATTGTGATAACACAAGGAGGTCGGTTGTTGGCTGGTTATTCCTCAACGTCCTGGGCAATCCAACATGGGGGATAGGCCATGAAACTATTCTTTATTAGAACGCGCAAGCGAGCTATTTTTCGTCCTTTCCGCTGTATTTTATAGCACATGCCCATTTGTATGAACGTCTTTCTTGCTTTCTTGTTGCGAGCACGTGACAATATTATCACATACGTATTTGTGCCACTAGAGACCAGAGGGTGCTGCTAGTCGAACATCATTCCTCCCGTCCCAGTATTACCCATTGGTTATTCTATTTGCCGTCGGGCGGTCATCCCTTATGCATCTCGACTTACCTTTGAAGCAAACTAAACTCCACTTATTTCATGTTCAGGACGCCATCGTTCTCGTGATGACACTTCGCGTTGCCCGTGAGCGTCTTCTGGCGTCTCATGTCAACCAAAAGCCTCAGTACAAAAGTCATCGCCTGGATATTCGTTTCAGCTTTGGCTCCTTCGTCTTGCTCTGGCTGCTTTTACGTCACGTTGGCTCTGCTGTAACCGCGCAACGTTGGGCCTCAGCGCGTTCTTCTCCTTGTCCCCTGAATCGCATACGAGATTTCACCCTTGAGATTGGAGCCTCCGTTCGCACCTCAGCCACAGAGAAGGTGCAGGTTTTCCGACCAAAGCTTGACGCCAGCACATGATCGCCTGTAATTTTTGTCGGTCATTTAATTCGTTTTATTAATAAATATGGCATGACCAACTGTCCAATCATTACATAATCAATTGTATTTATTAAAAGTTACGTCTTTTTGGGTAGTCAACAAAACTTTCAATCACTTCCTCTTGCGTTAAATTGCGTCTACAGAGCAATGGTATAAGGTATATACATTTTAGGCAATACTTGGAACGATAAGGTACGAAAGAATATCATCTCTTCCGCTGTTGCTAGGACTAAGCTTCCTCCTTAAATCTGTTAAAAAAGTTTAATTGTTCAAGGTACAGACTTAGGGCCCATGAATTTGTTTTGAATACATTATAAGTTGAAAATGAGAGCTGGCACAAAACAAAACCGGCGTGCCTTTGAAGCTCTATGCGAAACATTGTGGCGTGGGCGTCGCTGAATACATACTTCTGTTTCCGTCTCTAGGTTTCGGCGATGCCGCTGTGGAGCCAGTGCACTTTTCAATTGCTACTGCATATGCTATGACAAAGGTTTGTCTTTTTTTACTTTCTTTTCTTCTTTCATTTGCTTTTTTTTGCCAGACGACATTTAGAAATAGGCCACTTCTGACGTATTTCATTTTGCACTCGCTATTTGGAATTTGGAAGCAAGCTGAACAGCGTTCTTAATTTTCCTGGGGGCCATATTTCAATGAAAATTATGATTATCCTATTACGTGTGGCCTTAAAAAGAAGGAGTCAAGATTGGAATGTTAGGTGTAATCCCTATGGTTCGGATGATCACGACGACACGTTGAAGGACTGGACTGCTTGCTCACTTCCTGGCAAACTTCGGTTTATTTACACACTGACACAGATTTACAAACAAAGGCCGGGGGGGGGCCACTAAACCAACCACGCAGTAAGCAATGGCATGTATTAGTATCAACGTCGGCGTTACTTGCCGAGCCCTTCGTATACTCTACACATCGACACCAACTTCTCGATGTAGTATCAACCTTGGATCAGAGTCTGCACTAAGCACGACCTCTGTCCCTGTTCCCGCTTCCCGATCTCGTTCTCCAGCACCAAGTTTCCCTTCTCTCAATTTCTCATCATTAAATACCTCCCGTCTCATCTGAGACAGCCTCATGGGACGAACCCCTAATTGATGCTCCACCAATGTAGCAAACAACTGCCCTTTCCCTCTGAGATGGTTCTCCGCCTCTGCGTTCCCACACTTTGCTATCCTCCGAGCATCAGCTAAGAAGAACTCCGTCATTTCAACGACGTACAGCTTAAATGATAATTTCGGGCGACAACAAGCCTGTCTAGACGGCCGGTTGGTTGTCTGGCGTTAGTAGACACGATTCTGCCGTATATCCACACGTATTGTTACAGCATGGCGCCACATTATTTTGTCGGGAGCCATGTCGCGACAGCGACCACTTATTTCTAAGCTGGCTCACCATGAGTGCGCTACCGCCATGCAGGTGACTCCCCAGCACAAGGTGCAGTGAACAAAGGCTCACGGGGATCGACGACAAGGACACGTTCCGAAGAGAACAGCTTAGTCCGTGTCTGAGCAGCCTTTTTCATTAATTTCCCTTTTCGTTGGGCGCCGTCTACTGAATGGCCATCCTTCGCGTGCCTTAAGCATAACTGAAGGTGTACAATAGTAACAATTATCCCAGCTCAAGGCGTTGTGGTTTCCTTCCTTGCCTTAAAAGGGGACAGACAGAGAAACTTCCATTCGTCTTTTTTTGCGTAACGTGAAAGGTGAAACTCTGAAGAAATTATAAAATGAGCTGATGAGTATGAGTGGGCTCTCAAAAAGTTAACTGCATCATGCATTAAAAAGCAAGTTTCGGGTCCTGCTACATTCTAACATCACGACACGGCGTGAGCTCCTCGTCACGTGCTCACGCATTGTATCGTGACGTTCCCACGGCCGCTCGCTCTATGGCTCCATTGGTTACACACAGGCGGCCATTCTGCCCATTAGGTACTTGCCCATGCATCTTATTTATGCGTCCTGGTGCGTTAAGTCACCAGAATTTACAACGTAGCCTGTTGAAGCGCAACGAGAAAATTGAGTTTATTGTGAAAATAACATATCTTATTCAGCACTTCCTGACATTCACACATGCTGCCCAGCCATTCATTTAAACGAGAAATTCGCATGGCGATGCAAAGTCAGCTCCGTTCATTCTCATTATTGTTAGGCAGCCTTCATATGCGCGCCAGCGCGCGCGTATGACGGCTCCTTATAGTCACGGTTTCTTCAAAACATCACTAGCAGGGCATAGCCAGAACTATTTTAAATGCGAAGCATACCTTTGCGTACTGCAGGCACTTTTGGCGTCTATCTACGCATCAATCTATCTAGCCGCCAACGTTTCGATGATCTCGTGGTCACCCCCTTTACTTGGGGTATACCAAAATTAGCATAGAGGGTAAGACAGTTTGACGAATAAGACTCACTTGTCAGAACATTAGTAACTTCACAATCCTGTCGCGTACGTCGCCAAACACTTTTCGCCTGACAGTGGCACGTACCCGTGGGCGGGTGTGTGCCTCAAGTGACTGACACTTCTCATCTACTCAGGAACGCTGAAAACACACTTGGGTAATTAAAACGTCAGCGTTAAGCAAAACGTTGACCCAACGTGCTGAATTGGCTCGACGAATCTAAAGAAAAAATGTCAGGGTCCCAGCAGAAATCGAGACCCAGCATTAGGCATGGCAACCAAGTATTCTGCTAGCCACGGCAGGTCTTGCAACTGCTTTTCAAATAGACCGTGATGCTCGTGAAGCGTCCATTGGGGATCGAGTGACGACTATCAAATTTTATGAACATTGCATACGTGGGCCTACAATACAGCCGTTAAGTCAGGTTAAGATCTACTGTGGCATGTACCCGTGGGCGGGTGCGTGCCTCAAGTACACTGAAGGTGTTTGAAAGAGTGGCTCTAACACTCTTTTAGATCATGCTTTTTCTAACTTAAGTCTTAGAGTGTCCGGGGTGGTTGATGTCAATATTATCGATCATAATCCCATCTTAATTGCATTTTATAGCCCTTTCACTCACATCAACTCAATTTTCACTGCAATGCGATTTGACAAACAAAATTTCATCAGTGTCATTTCAAACCGTGACTGGTTCAAAGTTATTGCGCAAGCTGATCCACGATCACCAGTAGATACATTTTCTTCTCTATTCTCAGAAGCTGTTTCTGCTAGCACTCATACTATTGCTTACAACAAGAAGTACCAAGAGCCTCAAAGCCCTTGGATGATATCTGCTTTATTAGCTATTCTCAGAAGAAAAGGTGACCTCTATATAAAAGTTCAGAGACAACCTGTTAATAACGCCTAGGCACATGGCTATAAAAGGTATTGTAATACTCTTAGCTCTATGTTAACACTTTCCAAGAAATGTTATTATAACGAGGAATTTATAAAGAACAAAAATATTCCTGAAATAGTGCAAACTTTTCAATGAATCTTTATATTCTAGAATCAAATCGCCCATAACGATAATCACTCACCATAAAGCTACTCATCTTCACTCTGCCGACATTGCTCATGCGTTTTAGGGGCGAAGCTCCTTAAGACCTCACGATGTCCGCCGTCTCCCGTTTGTCCGTAACTCGTCTTCATCTGTCTGACATTTCTGAACCATTTTCTATGTTACCTTCAACTTAAAAGCAACAGAGGGCGATGGTGGTAACCGTTTTGCATGTAACCTTCAACCTGTAAGCAACAGAGGGCGCTATGGTTAATTGTAGATGTGATGGCGCTGCTGTCAACGCTTTATATATATAACCACGTTCCATACCACACATTATCTTCTCTCATATGGACGAATACGAACGCAGGAAAGCGCGACGTGCTGAGTATCAGCGTCACCGTCGACGGGAAGCTACCGCAGAGGCAAAAGAGAAGGGAGCGGATGTAAAGCAGCGACGGCGACAACAAAGTTCTACACCATAGACTAGGGCTAAGGAAGCAAAGGCTAAGCGGGAGAAACGCCAAGCTGACGCGCAGTTGAGACAACTTGAAGCGGATGCAAGGCGGCATTACCATCAAGAAAATGCTACACCAGAGACTTTAGCTAATGAAGCTGTGATTATGAAGTCAAAGCGTAACCCAGAACTCCGAACCTCATATCAGCTATAAATAAGAATCACCGCTATATCACAATCGGTCTCAGCACTATTTCTTTGAGAAAAAAATATATAAGTATCACAACCACAATCAGTCTCAGTACTATCTCAAGTTTAATCACAATATTCACCTCCGAAAGCTTCACCCCATAAATATCTTCAAGCAGCTTGAAATGCAGTGATTTCTTTAGTACTTCTACTCGCCATCCATTTGTCAGAAATTGTTGCTTCACTTAGTTTGCCGCACTTACCTCACTCATTTTCTTTCTTTCCTTCTTCCTCTGACAGAGTAGTATCAGCTATTGGAAATCTTAAAAAATACTTCTCCTGGTCTGGATAACATTTGCGCACATCATTTAAACATGGTTGCACATGTCATTTCTCAGCTAATAACCCATATAGTCCATCACATTTTTCTATGGTTTTTTTCTGCCTCATTAAAGCGTGCAAAACTAATACCAAATTTTCAGAAAGACGATAAATACAAAATGTCGACATTCCTTCCTGAAGTTTGTTATCACCCCGTTACACTATGTTCATCGAAAACCATGCCTACAGTGTACGAGAACCTTAGAGACTGTGGTAGATCGGTTTGTAAAGATTACGCTTACTTCGCAAACATTAGAGATTATTCAGTAATCCGCGTGGCTTCTATAGCGATAACACTAAAATATTCGATGGCACGTGTGAAAGAGCCGACGCGCTTCGCCGCTAGTCAGTTGATCGACGGCTGACGCTTCGCTCGCCGCTATGAGTGCAAGTTTCTTGCTGCAATCTGACTTCCTTTTTGCGCGGCCGCAAGTTCGCCCCAAACAAACAGTTTAATATTCGATCTGCAGTCTGCTTCTTTCATCATTGTCATGACCCCGTGACATCTTGTGGAGGTCCTGCCTTTTTAATCTACCGTACGTTTCTGTTAAGGCGTGAACCAAGCCCAAGCCAGGGAAGAAGACATTGACGCCAATCTCGCAAGCAACGAAAAAGCCGTCGGCAACTGAGTATAACGTCAGAGTACGGGCCTTTACCTGTAAAGACCCCGCAAACCACGACCCCTATCTCAGACACGGCGACAATGACAGCTCATGTGTCACCTGCACCGATTTTGATACGGCAAGAAGCTACCATCTTTCCATGGTAAATCCCTCCAAGACCAAGAAACTTGGCTTGAGACAAATGGCCTTTAATAATTGGAGCACCGAGGACAAGCTGCGGCATGCCTACTTTTACCTAGAAGACTCGGCAAAAACCTGGTGGAAAACCGAGGGTCTTCACTCTAATCCTGGTAAAATTTCCACAGCGCATTTCTGCACATTTTCACGAGTGTCGTCCGAAAGAAGAAGGTTGCTTGCTTGCCAGTAACCCGCGTTCAACTCCCAAATGAAA